TGCCTTCCCTAGGTAGATAGGTGAAAGAGACTACTTACATTTAGGTCTCTCCCGTTCATCTTAATTGGTGCTTGTTGTTGGTGGTGGGGGTGTTGGTTGGGTATCTTCACCACCTCTGTTTTCTCTACGTTCGCCTGACCTGAGTCCCTTCTTCGCTGCATCGCCCTGCCTCTTCTGTCAACTTGTTAGTTTTCGCATGTACATCTTCAAGTTCGTGCAACAAGACATCAGACAAAAGTCATCAGCAAAATCTAAATTTTCTAGGTTCTTCTCCTCGGTCCAGCCATTGTATCCCCCTCTTCTCACAGCTCCTCACTGTTTGTTGTGTGATTCAGTCTAGTCCACTACAATCAGGAATATCATGGGTGATAGTAGGTGGCAGTCTTGTTTCACTCCTTCCTGTCTTCACTTCACTTCAAAAGCATCATTGAGCTTCCCATTGTGAATCATATGGCATGTGGCATCTTCATATATTTGTTGAATGAGATTGATGAAGGTTTGTGACACTAAAACCGTGGTGTTGAAGCAGTTGCCTGTGAAATTACTTGTCGGTCGACGCTGTCGAAGGCCTTTTCAAAGTGGATGAAGTTGAGATAGAATTGTTTTGACTTGCATTCTTTTCTTTGTTCTATGATGATGGGGAGCGTTGCAATTTGATCCACACATGATTTGTACTTCCTGAATGCAGCCAGCCAGCCTGTTCGGATTGTTTTTTTGAATCCGGTGCATTCGTCAACATATTTGACTCATCTTAATAATGCCATATTACTCGAGTTAACTACCTGTTTTACCATAAATTCTTACGCTTATATATTCATTGACCAAAGGAACTTACATTGATGATTTCGGGAGTCAGTAAGTTTCCACACAGTCATGTAGTCCAGGTGAATATCTTTGCTCAAGCATTTCCAACTCAATTGGTACTGTTCACAGCAATATAGATTTACGCCATCAAAATTAGATATTGTAGTGCAAAGAAATAAGCATTTGAAAACCTGAAGAGCAACAATAATAGGTTTTACATATTTTTCACTTGAAGGTATGCAGTATTATCAAGGAGGTATATTCACTGTTAGACGAAGTACTAGAGAAATTTGTTGCATAGCATTCTTGTGAATATGCTCACTTTAAAGTTAATAGGTGAGTTGATCTCCTGGATTCAACTGTTTATCCAGATCTTCTCTGTCACTGTGACCGTTAAGAAATTCGAGTAGTTCGAGGATAAATAAGTGTTCATATGGTGAATGAATGAATGAATGAATGAATGAATGAATGAATGAATGAATGAATGAATGAATGAATGAATGAATGAATGAATGAATGAATGAATGAATGAATGAATGAATGAATGAATGAATGAATGAATGAATGAATGAATGAATGAATGAATGAATGAATGAATGAATGAATGAACGAATGAATGAATGAATGGGACCGGTAATTCTTATTTATTAGGTAGTAAATTTTCTGGCAGCAGAGTTTCATTCTTTTGAGAAACAGTGAAATATTGAGTCCTGTTGTCAACATCGGAAGTTATCGAGATGATGTGGGTTTTCAAAGTTTTTAGTTGAATTCTTTATTCGTTTAAGGTTCAGATTTCCAAGTAATCCGATAATTTTTCACCATAGTCCATTTTCTTGAGAGAATTACTAAAATTAATTCCAATAGTTGATGACGCAAACAGATTTTTATTCATTGTAAATTGTCTTCCCCCCTTCAAATAGTCTTAGAAATAAAATTAGTACTGAGAAAGGAAATCATAACATTGAACATTGAAGTGAGTAGATGCTCTATGTCAATCAAAAAAATTCAGGAAAAAATAAAGTTTTCTATAGAGAAATTTTAGAAAATATTCCACTAGTATGCATTGTAATTCACTGAACCAGACAATTATTGTTTTCGATGTGAGCAAAAACTGACAGTCATGGCTATATTTCAGTGTTTGAAGGAATAAATAAACTACTGGATCACTTAAAACTAACATTATTTTGATTGTTAACAGAAGAAAGGAGTTTTATTAACTAGACAGGTAAACAAAGAGGTTTTCACTGATAAAACAAGAACTGTACATACATCGGTCACTAGAGAACCAAGAAAACGCATTCAGTTGACGCAAGCATGTCTGTGCGTTACACAGTCTATCACAACTGTTGTGTGAGGGCTGTTCACACCCTTATAGGTGGAGTGATGTTCGAACCCACTGGATGTAAATCAAATGCTGAAGAATATTTCTAGGTCAGGTAGATGGTCTTCGTTGTATTGTGTCCTTTGAACTGGGTTATTAAATCGTGCATCTTCGATGTCACAGTGCTATACACATCCATCGAACCCCAATCGGCTAAGGAAACTATGTCCCTTCTGCTCAATGAAGACACAAACCTTCCAGAACACACGGAATTTAAACCTTCAAATCTGATGGAACTCATTGACCTTTGTCTGACCACATACTTCCAATTCAACGGCAAGATATACAAACAGATAAAAGGAACTCCTATGGGATCACCGATATCCAGACTAATTGCAGAAGTAGTGATGCAGAAACTGGAAGCCATCATCCTACCTGTGATCAAACTAAAAATTTGGATTCGCTATGTGGACGACACTTCTGTCATCATTAAAAAAGATGATATCGAAAACACTAACAGTTTGGTCAATAACATTTTCAATGACATCAAATTCACAATGGAGAAGGAGTCAAACAAACAACTACCATTCCTGGATGTTCTATTCAGTAGGACAAATGATGGAAAGCTGGAAAATTAAGTGTACAGGAAGCCAACACACACCGACCAAATCCTCAACTACAGTAACAATAATCCAACAACGCACGAAATCAATTGCATCCAGACTCTATTCAAAACAGCGAGAACACACTGCAGTACAACAACTTCACGGAGAAACGAAGAAGATTACTTGATGTCCATCTTAAAGAAGAACGGCTACCCACGAAACTTTATCACAAGATGCCTATCCCAACATCATCAACTACAAAGTCACCCACAGAGATCAATAAACACATCATCCTACCATAATGCATAAAGAATATATCAGAAATCACGACAAGATTACTGAGACCACTAGTTGGAATTGGTGTGGCTCATTAACCAACAAATTCCCTCCAAACACTATTATGCAGACCAAAGGAAGCAGTAAGCAAGGAAGACAAACCGAATATCATTTACAAAATGAACTGGAATAACTGTAGTCAACACTAAATTGGACAAAGTGGTCGGCCTCTTCGCCTTCCTCTACACGAACACCAATTGACTATTAAACGTCACACACGACATTTCATCACTCATTTCAATGCATGTGGATAACAACTATGGACATGAATTCAATTTTGACAATGTAGAAATGTTAGATGGAGAGAGGAAACACGAAGAATATGAGAGAATTCCTAGAAGTTTGACATTCAGGTCAGTCAGTCAGTCAATCAGTCAGTCAGTCAGCAATCAACAGGTGTATAGACATAGACCCAATCTGTCGACTAATAAGAAAGATGAAAAACGACAGAAAGGTGAGAGGCCAGGTCAGGCAGAGGAACAGCTAACAGGAAAATCTATGCAGTCAGTCAATGAGACAACAGTCGAAGGAAACAACTAATCACAGACCACTTTGTCAAAACGAGGTGCTACTAAATCACTGACGGGGAGATATTGACAGGTCACTTCATACTGAAGTTATTGCTGTGAATGATGTCGTCTAGAAGAAAGACGATGAAAGTTTCACGACTAAACAACCCAGCTAGCTCAGAGTACACAATACAACCAAGACCATCCACCTGGGCCACGAGTATTCTCCATTATTTCATTATCACCTTTGAAACTTACTCTAAGATATATACGCTCCTTAGCAATACTATCTTTCTCCATCTTCTCTTTAGGTTTTAATATATGTTTATTTACGAAAGCTAAATTAGATTTTGCTTAAATATCTCTGGACTGAATATGTCTAGGTACACCGCTGATGAACTGAACCCGAAAGATCACCTCCGTCTGGCTAGTAACTAGTGCTGAATAGCGTCAGTTGTCCAGAACCACTCATGTCAGCCAATACAATGTTTAGTATTTGTTGAAAACACTTTCCCAGGAGCGAAAATAAATTATTTACACAGATCTATACAGATTAAGAACAGTGGTAAATGAAATGAAGTACATGGTATCATAGTGTCCGGAAAATTGTCTAGAACCTTCAGAGAAGATCTAACACTTTAGAAACTTTCAGAAGTAATTAACATTATCAGAAGTTTCGAGAAAAACCATATGACCATACCGCACAGATAGTAGATTGGTTGAAGAGACAAAAACAATGAAAAAATTCTTTTCCAAAAAGGCTAAGAATAACAACGATCATCGTTAACATAAAGGCAAGATCCACTGTATTTTATAGATATCTTGAAGTTCTAATATAACTTCTTTTGTCTGGTTCTCGGTTTCATTTCCGAAGAAGTGAATTATCATGTTTGAAATCTGAAAGTAGGTTATATCAGGAGATTTGAACTTACTTTATGAGGGTGTAAACCTGTTTTTCAAAGAATATTTATTGATTATATCAGCTGTTAAATTTTGAGGGGGTTGTGGAGATTTGGAAATATTTGAAGTTGTTATTCATCGAAGACTGACATCAGTTGGAAGAACAAAGGAAACCTGGGAGCACTGGACAGCAGTTTCGTCCTAGTATGGGACTCCTCAGCAGTGCGCACCCACGACCCCACCAGCAGGGATCGAACCCGCGAACCCGCGAACCCGTGGCTCAATGGTAACGCGCTGGTCGCGGAACCTGGAGGTCTTGGGTTCGATCCCTGCTGGTGGGGTCGTGGGTGCGCACTGCTGAGTAGTCCCATACTAGGACGAAACTGCTGTCCAGTGCTCCCAGGTTTCCTTTGTTCCTCCAACTGATGTCAGTCTTCGATGAATAACAACTTGAGATATATCAGCTGTGTTAGTTATTCCTTCAGTGTTTATCATCTTTAAATATGGTGTTGTTTTATCTTTTAGACTCAAACGAATATTTATGAAATTGTCACTGATCTACGCATGGAACAAGGATGTTTACAGCATCGAATGGAGACACTGGAAACATCGCTATTAAAAGTTCAAGTTAGTCATGTTATTTATGATATAATGATTTTCCTTTATGTCTAATTGTATGATTTTACTGCTTATGTAAGCATTTATCTGATGATGAGTCTGTAGTCATTCTTCTATATCATAGATGTTTATGTGCAATAGACATCTGTAGAGCTGTAGACAGAGATGTTACTCCTCAGCTATTTGAACGACAGATTAGCCTCAGTAAAAGTATGCTGCGTATATCGAAAAGTCACTTGGCTGTCATCAATATGCTGAGATCTATTTCTTGTAGCTGAGCGATTCTCAAGGAAGTTAGTCAAGGCACGGATTACTTAGCGTCATCATTTCTGACTAGGGTATTCAGTAAAGTTGCTTGAAATATGCATAAAGGCATGATCTCTACTGCCTTTCGTTGTGGTTCTCGCATATCCCTCTTTGATAAGTTTCACAGAACAGTAAACCAAAATCTCTTTGTGCATTGTCCTAAAGTATCTCACCATTAGGCAATGGCGTGTCACTTAGTGTTTTGCTGAGGTTGTTCCGTTTGGGATGAACTAATGGATAACTTATTATTATTATTATCATTATTATTAGCATTTATTATTTATCCCTTGGGTTCCTAGTGCAACATACGGATTCACTAACACCTCTCCACTGAACTCTCTTATCTGCACTCTTTTCAACCTGACTCCACCACTACCCACAACCTCTCATTTCTCCCTCACACAATCTCCTCCATATCACCCTCACCACGGACACCCAACTCGTCGTTTCACATCTGCCTCCCACTCAACGACCTGACATGACATGACGCGTGATGTCCCCACTCAACCTTCTCACTCTATACACAATCCCATCCATCTCCAATTCCTTCCACTGCATATTTGTTCAGTGATAGCTTCTTGGTTGGTTCGTCACCAGGTCAGCCACAGTGAGTTCCTTCTTGCTTATTCTTATTATTCTCGCCATCTGTCTGATCTTCACTTTCAGTATCGAGTCAGCGTAGACAGTTGTTGATGAATGTCTACAATTTTTTTTTGCAAATCCCTTTCGTAACACTCAGCCAAGTCTCTGAGCCATACAGAAGCACTGACTTGACTGAGTCGGTGTTGAAAATCGGGACGTAATGAATCACTTAAAGCTACAAAACCAAGAAGCGAACCATGGAATTTGTCTAACAAAAGATGTAGGAGTTTGTCCGTATAGCACATAACAACCATTGTGATTAGATGAAACTCTAGGCTGACACCTCACCTTGTACAAGTAGTTTTTATCAATTGAGTGGGGGTTGGTGTTTAAGTCTATATGCTATATGGAATGATCTGAGTGGTCAGGCTTCTAAACTCCCACCGTCAGTCTACATATCATATTTCATGCTTAAAAGCAGACTTTCTTCAGTACTTACGGCTAAACCGGGTTCTACATAGACATCTGAGTACACTGCGCATGTGAAGAAATATGTTCACAATTATCTTCTATTAGACCCTATCCAAGCACTGTGTGCACAGATGCGTTTGTCAAGGAATTTTGTAGTCATCTTGATACTTGTCATTTCCTGTTGTTATACAGGGCCGAACTGCTCAACCTCTGTTGGTAGATGGGCTCTTATGAGGATACCCCAATTCTGGTGGATATTCATGATTTTATACTCAGCTTGGCGATTAGCAGTGAAATCCATAATACACGACCCGACTATGTATATAACATCATGAATATTCTGTGATATCCAGGCCTCTGCATAGTAGCCCATCTACCAACAGAGGCTGAGCAGTCCGGCCCTGTATAACAACAGGAAAAGACTAGTATCACAACAACAATTAATACCTATTGTACAAGAGATATCGTGTTGTAGTGGCCTAGTGGATAGTGCTTTGGCGTTCGACACAATCGATACCGGTTTCCAGTCTCAGTCGGAACATCACTCAGTAAGGTGCAGGTACACCCAGCTGACGAGTCCTAGAATAAACCGCTGGTCAACATTAATGAATATAGGATTTTGCAGTTGCTGTCCTTTGAATTCTGAAGTTCAGTCATGAAGTTTTTGTTATTAGCCTAGTCAGTAGTATCAATAAGAAAGTAATAGTAACAGCTGTTTCAACCTGGTATATGTAGGACTCCTCAGCACTACTCATCAATGACCTCACCAGGAATTGAACCCAAGACCTACAGGTTCCATGGAAAGCAATTTGCCACTCACCAACTGGTTTGGAATGCAGTGGTCTACATTTTCCTACTTCTATCAGTTGATGGATTATGACAGCAACCAGATATGATCATCAGTATGCTCCATCAGTTCTAGACTTAGCATTCTTACACACAAACGGTGTATGCTTCATTCAGCACCTCGCACCTCTTGGTAAAAGTGATCATGCTGTCGTCATCTTCAGACCTAAAGCAGCCATCTTGTACCAGGCCGATGCCTTAGCTAGACCTAATGTATGGAAAGCGAATATGTTAGCCACTAACTTGGCAGCCTCTTAGGAGTACTGCACAATCAATCCATAAGCCTGAGGCTGCATGATGCTCCTTCAAACAGTTATATGCATGAGTGACTCAACCGTCTAGTCCACGAACTGTCCCCAGGTGATGGAAACATTGTCCTCCGTGGATAAACTATGAAATCGAAGTCTTGGTACGACGCGAGAAAAAGTGTTAGGCTCTTGCCACCCACCCAGGGACTTCTGAAGTAATGAAGCACTACAAAATAGTCCGAAATAAATGTATCATTACTATCCGCCGTTCTTAAATATGCTTTGAAACACGTCTTGCACAGGCTGCATTGCAACATCTGAGGTTACTTTCCTATATGAACGACAGAAATAAGATGTATCGTGATATACTCGCCCTAATCAAAGGAACACAATCTCACTGTTCGATTGAAGAGGATAAGAAAAATGCAGAAGTTGTGGCTGGATATTTTGTTGGAGTCCTTACACAAGAATCTTCTTTGGACACTCGTTCGACAGTAGAAACATTGACATCCAACAGAATAAACTCTGTAGATATCGATCGCAATAGTGTACTTCGGACATTAAGTACTCTCGATATAGAAAAATCAATGGGACCGGGTGAGCACCCAAGGCTGCTCAGAGAGCTTGCACTCTATGTACACGGTCCACTGACTACTATATTAGATGTCCCATGGTGAAGGCATACTCCTCTATGATTGGAAGGATGCCATAATATCACCTACCTACAGTGCAAGTCCTAGGCAGCACCTATCGAATTACAGACTGATAAGTTCGACCAGTACTGTAGTGGAAATTCTAGAAGGCTATCACAGTCCACCTAGAGAGCAATGCTCTACTTTCTCGTTCGCAGCATGGCCTTTGCAGAAATTTCTCTTGCTTGATGAACTTCTTTACAGTCATAGGATGTTGGGTCAAGCTTAAAGATGATAGGATACCTGTAGATGTCATTTTTATAGACTTTAGAAAGACGTTGAACAAGGTAATTAATTCCAGGTTTCTCAGGAAACTGGAAATTTTGGAATCACCGGCAATCTGGTTGCATGGATGAGAGAGTTCCTTTTGGGTAGGAGACAAACAGTAAGGACCAATTTTCAAATCTCCACTCGGAAGTCGGTTGAGAGTGGAGTGCCGCAAGGCACACTTCTGAGTCCCCTGCCATTTCTTTCATACGTTGCCGAATATCACGAAATCTCCAATGGTTCTCTACGCTGATGATGTGAAAATCTGGTAGGAAATTAGGAACGATGAGGATATACATGCACTTCAGGCAGACCTGAACAGCTTGTTTACCTGGTCAGAGAAGTGGCTTATGCCTATCATCGGAGGGAAATGTGTGAGCATGCACTTGGGGCACACATACACACACAGCAACACCTATGCTGTTGATGGGACTGCTCTACCGTCAGTACTGACCCACAATGATCTGGGAGTCACAGTGAGTTGTGACTTGAAGACAGCGGCACACCGCCGATTGGTAGCAGCTCCGAGTTTTAAGACATCTAAGGGTATAACGTAGAACGTTTACAAAAATAAGTGGTGATATGTTCACCATTTTATACACAAACCTAGTTAAATATTAACTAAGAACCTGCACAAAGGTGGCAAATCCTCGTCTTAAAGATGATTCAGACCTGGAAAGAGTTCAGAAGGTAGCCATTCGTATGATTCCTATGATGGCTGGCCTGACCTATGAAGATCGACTTAAGGAGCTGAACCTATACTCTTAATCTTGTTAAAGACACAGAAGATACCTAATTATCCTATACAGGATTCTAAGAAATGACTTTGGATCTGATCTACTCTTTTTCTTCCTACTAGGTCGGGACACTTCAGAGGACATGGTGAGAGAATACAAAATCAGAGAACGAACATATATTCGTGGTGTCCACATCATCAACTGACTCGTTCAAAAGGGGGCTGGACAAGCGTAGATATCTACTGGAAAAGAATTAATATAGGCTCACAGCCTCCTATCCTGAAACAATAAATCTGAATCTATATCAACTCCTACCGGGAACGTACTCGATTATACACTAGATCCTAAAAAAGAAACGTAATGCAACGATTACCACAGGCTAAAGTGGTCTGTTATCCTTATTACTAAAGTCTAAAAGCCGTACCTTTAATTAGATAAAGTGAAATAAACTGAAAATTATGATTCAAGTTAAATCTGTGAGTTACCAATTTCATATGCTTATTAAGTAAAACAGAGAGTACAGAGGCAAACCATTAAACTGAACCATAACAACATAACGGATACCTGCTCCCCACGAGAAAAGTAAACGCATTTAATTTTCCTCAACTTACCTCAAACTTCAATATCGAATACCTGGTATCTGTCATATGAACTTGCGTAAACCGATTAATTTCTTCTTCCTCGCTTATAGGTTTTGAAAAACAGCTTCCAGTGAATTATAATGCAACATGTTCACCTACTCGCAGTATTACTACAAGCTCTCCCCAAACGAATTTGGCTGACTTTCGTTTTCAAACGACGGTTTGACTCGGGGTCAAAAACCCAATCATAATTCTTTTGTGCTTTTATTTGTAAACGTC